TTTGGCTTTGGCCAGTCTAAAGAAAAGAAGGACTAGGGGAGACATGATAGCAGTCTTCCAATCTCAGGGGCTGCCCCAAAGAAGAGGGAGTCAAGCTATTCCCCAAAGCACCTGAGGGCAGGACAAGAAGCAATGGGTGGAAACTAATCAAGGAGAGAAGCAACTTAGAACTAAGAAATTTCCTGACAGTGAGAACAATTAGCCAGAGGAACTGCTTACCACCAGAAGAACGGGGTAGGTCTAGTTTGATGAAAAGAAGGACCAGGGGAGACATGATAGCAGTCTTCCAATCTCAGGGGCTGCCCCAAAAAAGAGGGAGTCAAGCTATTCTCCAAAGCACCTGAGGGCAGGACAAGAGGCAATGGGTGGAAACTAATCAAGGAGAGAAGCAACTTAGAACTGAGAAATTTCCTGACAGTTAGAACAATTAATCAGTGGAACAACTTGCCACTAGATGTTGTGAATGCTCCAACAATGGAAGTTTTTAAGAAGATGCTGGATAACCATTTGGTGTAGGGTTTCCTGCCTGAGCAGGGGTTGGACTAGAAGACCTCCAAGGTCCCTCCCATTCTGTTATTCTATAATCCTATTATTCTGTTACCACAGTCAGTAGATGAAGTCAGGGAACCCTTAATTAAATTAATTAAAAAATAGGCTTTTCCCTACCTTGATGGAAATCTCTTCTTCTGAATTTCTCCTATCAATGTGCAGGAAAATATCCCAGATGTCATAAAGAAAACCCAGTTACAGGTAGTTCTCGACTTACAAAAGTTCATTTCGTGACCGCATGAAGTTACAATGGCACTGAGAAAAGTGACTTATGACAGTTTTTCACACTGACGACCCCCATGGTCACATGGTCCAAATTTGGGCGCTTGGCAACTGACTCATATTTGTGACGGCTGCAGTGTCCCAGGGGTTATGCGATTCCCTTTTTGCGACTGCCTGACAACCAAAGTCAAGGGGAAAACCCGATTCACTTAACAACCTTGTTACCAACTTAACAACATCAGTGATTCTCTGAACAACTGTGGCAAGAAAAGTTGTAAACTGGGGCAAAATGCACTTAAACACTGTTTTGCTTAGCCATAGAAATGTTGGGCTCAATTGAGGTTGTAAATCGAGGACTACCCGTACTATAGAGGAGAGAGGGACCCATTAAAAATGTTATATCTTACAAGGAAGTCGCCTGTGACCACCAGGGCTTTTTTGCCATGTGCTCCAGATGCCTGGTAAGGAAGAAAAGAGCCGATGTTGCACAGGGCTTCACCACTGCCAGCCAAACTGTCGCCGCTGTACCAGGCTGGTTCAAGAATCTCACTGAAAAACAAGGCGGGGGATGGGGGGGGACAAGGACAGGTGTCATGAACCTGGGAGCACAAGTCATCACATCTGCATCTGCAACATCTAACCTTCCCATCCCTCGGTTGTGGAATCTGCAGGATAGTCATGAAAAGTTTAATTTCTGAGTCCGAGATAAAGACAAAGTGTTAGAATATTCATGAGTGGGGAGGAGCCAACATCGCGACGATAAGGACATGCTGTCTTGATGCTCCGAGACCGCAGCCAATACTTTTGCCGCTGGGTGGTCCAATCAGACCTAAACCGCCCCGAAGAGATGGTGAACAGGAAGAATATGTCTTGCTGACCTCAGAGANCTCCACATCTTTTCTACATCGTGGCGACCAAAACTGAATGCAGTATTCCAAGTATTCCAATTTGTGGCTTAATGAAAACCTTAGTTTCTGACTGAGACGCGGAAGGAAGGAGGGATCCTTGCAGGGGACTGCAAGTCTTGTTTGCGAATCACCCCAGCTTTAGTTCCCAGAAAGAGGCCCAAAGGAGTGGAAAACCACCACCTGTTCCAATAAACCAGGTAGATAACCCTGGAGAAGTGAAACTGAAGGCAACTTGGGCCAACTTTCAACCATCCTCAGCAAGAAATCTGTTTAAATGTTTTGTAAGGGATAGTTCTCCCTTCCTTGATTGTTGGGAGGGAAAAATTTAAATGCTAAAGATACCTTCCAATCAAATTCAAGTTGAAGGAATTGAAATTTCTAAACCTAGCTTACAGGCCAAGGATTTCTGAAATCCAAATACTAATCAAAATTCTGCGTGGCTTTTCAAGCTTGGTTCCATCAGCCGTCATAAGTATGAGCCAGTTGCCAAATATCTGAATTTCGGTCACACGATCGTGGGGATGCTGCAAAGGTCGTAACTGTGTAAAATGGTCACAAGTCACTTTTTTTCAGTGCCGTTGTAACTTTGAACGGTCACTAAATGAACTGCTGTAAGTTGAGGATAACCTGTACCATCTCCATGCGTCTTGGCTGAGAAAACCCCGTTTAAGGTCCTAACCTGGCTACCCAAGACTGTATCTCTGAGACCAAAAAGGGCAGCAGACTCACTTTTAATCATGTTGACGTCATTGGCCCCGTCTCCGATGGCCAAGGAGATGGGGTTCTTGTGTCTCTTCACCATTTGCACAATGAGGGCCTTCTGCTTGGGGGTGACCCTGCAACAGATCACAGCTTGGCAAGTGGTAGCCAGTTCCACAAAGGCTTTTTCAATGAAGTACCCGTGCTCCTTGCTGGTATCCTTAATCCGGAAGCGCAAATGCTCCAAAAGACCTTTCTTCTCCTTGGATTTCTTGTTCTCCACCGTGTGAAAGATTTTCTCCTGGGGAGAGATGAAGCCCAGACATATAACCCAGGGGCCTGATTTCTTTGCCCAGAATTATAGCTCTCCTACCAAGAACGGTTGCTGGAATTGGATTGTTGTGGCCCGCCAATGGAGCTATCAGCAGCTTCGGACAGTGTGGAGGTTGGGGAGGAGCATGGGCCAGTCCTGGAGTCTGGGGAAGGCTCTGACAAGTGCCCTGAGTTGGAGGAAGAGAAGGGGCCAGAGCTGTCTGACAGTTATTAGCTGCCTTCGGAGTCAGACATCAGTGAGGCAGACCAACAGCTGGAGCCTGTTCCCAGTGTGCGCCTGCGCAGAGTTGCCAGACGAAGGGAACAGCTAAGGAACAAGGGTCGATTTGGGAATAAGGCCTCAGGTGGACGGTGAATGGCCCCTCCCATAGAGAATAAAAGAGGAGCGAAAGGGGAGAGGTGCTTGCAGGAGACAATTAGTTCATTCCTGCATTCTTGCCAAGTATTGCGGCGTCTGAAAGATATCGGCCTGGCCACACTCCAAGCCTGATAAAGCTTGGTATTTGTGAACTATCTTGAAAGTCTGTGGGCCGAGACTTTGCTGGAGAGGAATTCACTGTAAATTAAATAAAAGGGGTTTATTGGGAAGAGGACTTGGCTTCATGCTGCTGCGGAAGCCTAGGTCAGAACATGGGTAAGTCTAGTTTAAAGAAGAGAAGGACTGGGGAGACATGATAGCAGTATTTCAATATCTCAGGGGTTGCCACAAAGAGGGAGTCAAGCTATTCTCCAAAGCACCTGAGGGCAGGACAAGAGGCAATGGGTGGAAACTAATCAAGGAGAGAAGCAACTTAGAACTAAGGAGGAATTTTCCGATAGATAGAACAATTAACCAGTGGAACAACTTGCCTCCAGAAATTGTGAATGACCCAACACTGGAAATTTTTAAGAAGAGATTTGAATTTGAATTTCCTTTATTTGTATGCCGCCCTTTTCCCTGTGGGGACTCAGGGCGGCTCACAATTCAAAAGGGAGGGGGGGAAACCATTTGTCTGAAGTGGTGTAGGGTTTCCTGCCTAAGCAGTGAGTTAGACTAGAAGACCTCCAAGGTCCTTTCCAACTCTGTTATTCTATTCTATTCTATTCTATTCTATTCTAAATGTTGAGTTTCCCAAATCAACACCTCCTGATTAGGTCATTTTATGCAATCCTCATTCTATCACGGTTTTAGCACTATCTATTAGAAATGCTGCTGAAATTCTCTGCACCATTTCTCCTGAGTGTCCTGGATTTTCAGATTTGCTTGTTAAGAGAGGAAGAATGCCATTTTAGAATCTTAAATATTGATTTACCTCAGTTGGTGGTCAAATAGATAATTTTAATTCCCAGTTCAGAGCTCTAATTTATATTAACTCCAGGCCACTGTCTGCTTCAAAAAATGACCATACCCT